AAGCCCAAAGTGGGTGAGGTGGGACATGGCCTTGTGGGAGCAAGGAAATGGTGGGTGAGGGGCAGTAAGGTGACCTGTGGACCCAGAGCAGGGCTGGAGGACAGCCTGGAGGGCTGGCAGAAGCACTCAGCTGTGGTCAGGTCAGGCTTTGCTTGGAGGTGTCTGGGTGAGCAGGGCACTGAAATTATCTGAGGCTCAGATTCCCCTTCTGAACGCCCTTGGCGTCTCTCAAGACTCCGTGTGTGAGTTGAGAAAGAGGCACAGACAAAGCTAGAGAAGGTTGTAGCCAAGATTTGAGCAAAAAGTGGGTCCTATCTAAAGCTCCCCATCCTCTGTGCAAGGTCCTTCTCTGAGGACCAGCACTTCCCAGGAAACTAGGAGCTCCCAGGCATAGTCTGATTGGAAGCTCCTGTCTAGAAGGCAAGCCATCCAGGGTACACGGGCAGGATGCTTGTATGTTCAGGGGTTGCTCGGCGCGCACACAGCCTCCTGCCTTTTGTTTCTGTGGAGTCCACAGAAGTGGTAATAATGGGGAACAGGGATGACCTCAGATTCTCCCACAGGCTTCAGAATTATGCTCCCTGGCACCCCAGCCTCTACAACAGAAGAACTTTACAGTTGAAGTGAGGATGGTGAGCCCAATGAGGGGGTCAGCACCTAACGCAGCCCTTCTCTCCAACATCCAGCTTCAAACGGGATGCCTCTAATGACTGACGGGATCTACTCCCCCACTAACTGGGGCAAATACTATTCATAGAAATCTCTTTCCTTCTCCTCCCTTCTGCTTCTAAACCATTCTCTAAAGTCACTTTCCTCGGGTGGTGGGCAGATCAAAGCCAGGGCCTATATCTGAGCAGCTGAACAAAATGGGAAGTAGTTGAGTATTTTACAGCCCAATCTCCAGGAAACTGGGGACCACAGGCTGCGGTGGTTAACACAGCCAACTTTTTGCTTTATGTCTTAGCTAGGGTTTTCATTGCTGTGAAGAGATATCATGATCTCAGCAACTCTCACAAGAAAACATTTAATTGAGGAGGCTCACATACAATTTCAGAGGTTCAGCCGTTATCATCATGGTGGGGAGCGTGAGGGCATGCAGGTCAACATAGTGTTGGAATGTTAGTTGAGAGTCCTACATCTTGCTGGCAACAGGAAGTGAACTGAGACATTGGGTGGTATCCCGAGCATAAGAAACCTCAAAGCCCATCCCCACAGTGACACACTTCCTCCAAGGCCATACCCACTCCAACAAAGCCAGACCTTCTAATTGCGCCACTCCCTCTGAGATTATGGGGGCCAATTACATTCAAACTACCACACTTGGTTTGAAATGGGTGGGTTCCCTTCTAGTCCAGACCTTTGAGGTAGGAAGACACATGCCTTTAATTAAAATTTTGAGGGGGAAGACACACCCTTAATCTGATGTCATGCCCTCTGCTGGAAGTGAAATATAAGGACGTGGAAAATAGAAGCTTCGCCCTCTGCCTGCTTGCTCTCTCTTGTTAGCCTTATTGACAATAGAGTCTAATTCTTTGGGATTCCAGACTGAAGACCAGCTCAGACAGACAGCCTCATGAACTGAGCAACGTCTGGACTCTTGGACTTTCCATTCATAGACAGCCATTGTCTGATTAATTGGACCATACTGTGTAAGTCATTTTAATAGATCCTCTTCTGGGGCTGGAGAGATGGCTCAGAGGTTAAGAGCATTACCTGCTCTTCCAAAGGTCCTGAGTTCAATTCCCAGCAATCACATGGTGGCTCACAACCATCTGTAATGGGGTCTGGTGCCCTCTTCTGGCCTGCAGGCATACACACAGACAGAATATTGTATACAAAGTAAAGAAATAAATTTAAAAAAAAAATAGATCCTCTTCTTATATATACAAAGGGATCCATTCTATAAGTTCTGCTACTCTAGAGAACCCTGATGAATACAAAAACTAAGGGCAAATATTTATCTCTCTGCTTGACTTCCAACACAATGTGGCCCCTGCCACTCCTACTTCCTCATCATGATGGGCCATGAACCCAAATTGATGTCAGAGTATTTAATTGCAGCAGCATGGAAAGTAGCTGATGTGTAGGCTCTGCCCACTTGCGCTCACAAAGCAGGCTCCAGCTCTCAGGAGCAGAGGGGCTACACTTTGGATGCCACCGGTACCGTTCAGGCATAGGTGCCTCTGCTGTCCTTGCCCTAGAGATAAGGCCAGGTCATAGTCGGGGGGGGGGGGATACCTGAGGAGGGAATGGGGAGAAACTTTGGGGGAAGTGGTTCATGGGAGACCTTCCTTCCTCCCATTCCTAGGGACTGGAATGTCGTCTTAGCTAGGGTTTCTATTGCTGTGAAGAGACACCATGACCACAGCAACTCTTATAAAGGAAAACATTTAATTGGGACTGACTTATAGTTCAGAGGTTCAGTCCATCCTTGTCATAGTGGGAAGCATGGCAGCACTCAGGCAGCTGTGGTGCTGGAGAAGGAGCTGAGAGTTCTACATCCTGTTCAGCAGGCAGCTGGCAGGAGGTGAGAGGGTGGGGGAGGGGACGGGGGGATGGGAGGACACTAGGTCTGGCTTGAGCACTTGACACCTCAAAGTCCACCCCAGTGACACATTTCCTCAACAAGGCTACACCTACTCCAATAAGGCCACACCTCCTAATAGGACCACTCCCTAGGAACCTTTGCTGGCCATTATCTTTCAAACCATCACATTCTGGGGATCTCAGTGGGGTTCCTAGAGTAAGAGCAGGGGAGACTTTCTGACTGGCTGGGCACTTTCCCCTGCACTCCTGTCCCTCAGCTAGGGTGTGTACAGCCTTGAGCCCCTCCATGAGGCTGGAAGGGACCACTGTCTACACTTTACTCTGGTCCTAATTCCCACAATCTTCCAGAATGGTGACTACAGCTCACAGTCTTTCCCAAAGCTGTCCCTCTTGGAATGACAGGGACCACTTTGAGGAAGAGTGGTGGCTTCCGCTGAGCGTGGGGAGGAAGCTGGGGAGAGTTGTGAGACTCTCAACAGGTCTGCGGCTTGAAGACACAGAGGGGTATCCTCGTGATTTCCAGCTGGAAAACCTCGTCCTCCACAACTGCTGACTGTGAGGATGGCAGTGATGGAGGTAGCTCAGCCATGGGATAGAAAGCTAGAAGGCGTGGGAGGGAGGGAGAAGCGCTAACCACAGAGTGTGCTGGAAGCCTCTGGGTAGCTGAGAGGCAAGGTTCCAGCTCCATGACAATATTTGCTGTGAAGACTGCCAACAATATCCCTTTCCTGTGTTCACATGGCAATGAACCAGGCTGACTACAGATGACCTTGGGTAGGACCTCATTGCTCACCTCGGCATTTCTGGGAATCCCACACACAAGACTACTAACTTTATTTGCAATGAAGCTATTCTATCCTTCTGCATTCTTGTGACCTCCAGTATTACCTGATCCATAGTAATTCTGTCAGGGTCTCCTCAGGGACCACCTGTGAGCTCATTCAATTTCTTAGTAAGGCTTTGAAGATAGTAGCTCCAATAATCAGCAAAATCATATATGCACGTTCGTATGTATACGTGTGTGTGTGTGTGTGTGTGTGTGTGTGTGTGTGTGCATGCGCACATGAGGAAGGGGGACTTTCTTTGAGAAATGCACACCCGTAACTTAGGATATGCCTTTCTCAACCTTTATCTCTTAACCCCTGTATTTAAGTTCTACACTGAAGGCTCCTAATAAACCCAGCTGTGCTTCATTAATGTCATTCTGAAACTCTTCCACATCCAAGCCAGGAATCCTGGATTTATCTGATTGGAGGTCTCTGAAAAGAGCTCTTCACGCGGCTGTAGGTGAAAGCCACCTGTATCTCCACTGCGTCACCACTGACAGCCCCTGCGCAGGGTGGAGACGGCAGCCAGCGTGTGCATCATTCCTGCGATGAATTAGTGGTGACCACCTAGGCATGGGGCAAGAAAGCAAGGGAAACAGACACTTGTGACTCAAGTTCGGGCACTAAAGGAAAGTTAGCAAGGCAATCTGCAGCCACAATAGTGTTCTGCAGACCCTTAATGGGGTAAAGTGACAAGGACTGGGCTGGGGATGGCTTTAGCCCTCGTTGTCAAGAAATCTGAATGAGAAAGCGCTTACCATAGAAAAATCAAGGGAAAAACATTCCAGATAGTGGGATGAGCTAGTGCAAAGACCCTGGGGTGGGAAGCTACTTGATATGTTGGTCATGAGCTCTTGCCTCTGTTGTATGGCCATTTTGTGCTAGACTGGCGACCCCTTACTCAATGCTCATAGCAACCCTTTGGGGCATGGGTTTCATTTAAAGCATGAGATATGGAAAAGTCGTTAAAGGTCACCTAACTGACAGATAGCACAGCTGAGTTTCAAGCCCAGAGTTGAGGCTGTCACTCCAGGATGGATGTCAACTGAAAGGCCAAGATGGGTGAGATCATTTAGGCCTAGAGAGAGGCTAGGGCTGAGGCCCAAGCTCAGTAGCCCCACTTCCAAAAGGGAAGCAGAGAACGGAGACAGGGCGGCCTAGAGGGGAGGTAGGCCCAGAGGTGTTGCCATGGAAACCAGAAGGGTGGCTGCTCCAAGGAGAAGGATAGCTCTGTGGTCATCTAGATGGAATTCTGGGGAGAAGCCAAGGAAGGAGAGATCACGAAAGGGACCTCTAGGCTTGGCACAGGGGTGGGAGGGCCACTGATAACCTAGAAGGGGACATTTTCAGTGAACAGAGGTACACTGTAGTGGTTTGAAAGAAAATAGTCCCCAAAGGGAGTGGCACTATTAGGAGGTGTGGCCTTATTGGAGTAGGCGTGGTCTCATTGGAGGAAGTCTGTCACTGTGGAGGCGGAGGTCTCTATGTGCTCAAGCCACGCCCAGTGAGGCAGTCTCCTTCCCATTGCCCGCCTATCAACATGTAGCCACTCCTTCTCCAGCACCGCCTCAACCTGCGCGCTACCATGATGATAATGGACTAAACCTCTGAAACTGTAAGCCACCACTTCAGCGGAATGTTTTCCTTTCTAAGAGTTGCCGCGGTCATGGTGTCTCTTCACAGCAATAGAAACGCTAAGACACACCCCGTGGGGGTATAGTGTGGGGTGGACCAAGGCAGCTGGCAAACCTCCCTGACTCTGAGTGTCGGAACAGAGCACCAGACTTAAGAGTCCATGCACGAGCTTCCCTGTAACCTCAAACAAGGCAGCTAACTTGTCCAAGCCTTGGTTTCCTCATCTGCAGAACAGAAACGACCCTACTGTTTTCTGCTACAAGAGTGAGGAACCGAGAAACGGAAGGCTCGAGAACCACAGCGTGCTCTGAAGACAGACCGCACTTTCAGTGCGGTGCGATGACATCCCCAGGTGCCAGTCAGGACTCGCCATCTCCCTCTTTGTCTGCTTTAACCATCTGTCTCTCTGAGCTGAAATCTGTTCCTCTGACCTCCAGCCGACTCGAGCCCTCCCTTCCTCTCAGTCCTACCACAGTCTTTCCTTCCAACCCCATCTTGGCTCTGGGGAGCTCGGTTGAATATGCAAATATCTCCCTAACCAGCTGGTGTCTGCCTCTCTGAAACACATGTTCCAAGCCCCTCAGCCTCACCAGGAACGATACCAACGCCCGTTGCTCCAAGGCTCGGAGTGGATCTATTACAGAGCAAGGAGCGGCACAGCTAGCAGATGGGACAGAGCTGTGAAACAGAGAGGAGGCAGGGGTAGGAGAGGAGCAGGGACCAACCCCAGGCCAGGAGCAGGTTGGGCAGAGATGAAGGGACAGGAATGTCAGGTGTGTGCCCACACACTGTCTGCAAAGTCATTGGTCCAGACTGATCTGTCTTTGGGGATTTTGGGTAAAATGTTGGACTCCTCGTGTCCCTGCCACGTTATACTGAGTTTGTAAAATGAACCTTACATACATTAATCTTTCTTTTCTATCTCTCTCAATGTTTCTCTATCTCTCCATTATTCTGACAAGATACCTAAGGCCCCTAAACACACACACATGAAAGAGAGAATGTGTGAAAGACTCTCACACATTCATGTGTGTGTCGTGTGTGTTGCTTTTGCTCTTCAGGACTGTCCCTAAACAGTCTTCAGTGCTGTCCTGCAAGCTCAACATCCATAGAAATGACTGTCACACAGTTCATCATTTGCAGCTTTTTTCTTTTTCTTTTTCTTTCTTTTTTCTTTTCTTTTCTTTTTTTTTTTTTTTGGCTCTGGGTTATTTTGGGGGGACCCAGCCCACTCATTTGCTCTTCACTGTTTATTATTTCCATAGCACCCCCAAACCCAGGACAGAGGGCACTTGACCTGTGGCTTTGACCCTCTGGTCCCTCCAGTACCTCCTTTACTGTCACAGGCTTTGGGAGCAAGAACTTGGCACAGATCCCAGTCTATGATCCACGGCCTTTTGCGGCAGCTGATGGGCCTGTGAAAGCCTGCAGTTGGGGGTTCAGGGATCACGCAGGACTGTAGAAATCTCTGCTTCTGCCCTGTAGGTCTGGAGCAACGAGCTGACTAGAGCAGACTTCCAGTGATAGTCACAGCCCAGGGGTGTCACCCAGGGTTGGGGCACTTGTGTGAGGTTCTGGGTTCCATCCTCAGCCACATCCATCCAAAGGTAAGCTATATATATGATACTATATAAAATATATAACATATAAATTATATATAATGCAATAATAATACTATCATTCTCTCACACTCAGCACACACCGAGGTGGCACCACTTCCAGCCCTGTGAGAGTATTTAACCCCTGAATGCTCACCCAGACCCAATGGGTAGAAGCTTCAATGAGTGCCACTTTTTGAATGAGAAACACTAAAGCCACCATGTATCCAGAACCAGGACTGGAACCTGTCTTAAACCCAACACATAGCACCATGAGACAACCCCAAGTTTCAACTGGGTCGTCAACATGTCAACCAGGTGGCCACATGGACCCTCTGGACCCCCAGTCTCTTGTGCATTCTGTGGGTCATGCGTACCCGAGCCTGAAGACCTGGCAAGGATGCTTCCTGAGGCTCGGGCACAAATGAGGATGAGTACAGTGAGGAGGGCAAAGTCCTGCTTCCCATCCCCAGCGACTGCCCAGAGCAAGGCAGGGGAGAGGAGGAGGCTGAGCAGGGGCCAGGAAAATGGGTGTGCGGGAAAGTGGGAAAGGAGAGGTGTCTAAGACCTCTCCCCTCCCCAAGGGTTTGGATGGAACAGTTGGCAAATGCACTCGGAAAGGGCCTAGAAAGTGTTCGTTAAAGGTATCGTTAAAGGCATCAAGGACCACACGGTCCTTGTCACAAGAGTCCGTTCTGCCGCTGCAGCAGGACAGCCGACAGACAGTCAGCAAGCAAATGAGCGTGGCTGTGTGCCAGCACAACTGTGCACGAACCCTGACATTTACTTCATACAATGTTCACTTGACAGGAAATGTTGCTTTTCTTGTCATTCTTCCTTTACACATTTAAAAATGTGAAATGCTCTCTCATCTCAGAGGCCACATTACAATATGCCGTAGGCCTGATCTTGTCGGTGTCATCTGCCAACCTTGGTTCTAGAAAGAACTGCCTGAATAGGAGGGCGTATAGGAGTCTGGGGTTTGAATGACAGCTCTGTCACTTTTTGGCTGTGCAACTGTGAGTAAGTCCTTAACCTCTCTGATCCATATTACCTGCTCTCTACAGTGGCTGATGTTTCACGCCCCCCTCTGCCAGCGTGGAGGTTCTAAAATGAAAAGATTCGAGAACACTGCAGCCCCTCTCAGGAATGTGAGCAGGTCTGCACCTACTTCCCCTGCTCTGCAAAGCCCTCATGGGTGGCAAAGTCCAGGATGATGTTTGTCTTCTGTCTTCAATTTGCTGCTACCCTCCCTGCTCTGCCTCCCCTACCTGTCTTTTGGATGGTCCAAACCACCCACAGTGAGTGGTCAGGAACAGGATTCGTTGCTAGGGCCCAGTGTTCCTGTGCCCACAGGCCCTGCTCCTGGAGGTCTGGGCCCCTCCACAGTCTGCAGGCAGGAGAGGTTCCCACTGCTCACCCGGGTTGTCCATGCATGGGGAAGGGTTCCCAGGTGCAGGTAACTGCTTGTTCTAAACTCATGTTAGAGGACGCACATACTTGTATAGTGTGTGAAAGAATATTTTGTTTAAAAATTTTTGTAGTAGCGTGCGTGTTTTGTATTGTTTTGTTTTTTTGAGATGGGGTTTCTCCGCATAGCCCTTGCTGTTCTGTGTTGTTTTACACGTTTGAGTGAGAATATTTATATGTGTGCACACGCACACACATACATGCACGCCCACACGTGAACACACACACGCATGTGAATACATAACATATGTGTGAACGCGTGCCTACGGAGGTAAGGGTTCAGCTTTGGGGAGTCCATTTTCTCCTTCCGTGTTGAGGCAGGCTCTCTCTGTTTCTTCTGGAACTCCAGGCTTGCCTTGGGAGTGTGCAGATGACCGATAATGCCACCGCATCCAGCTTTTTTACGTAGGCTCCAGAGATTGGAATTGGTTCGCTAGGCTTGTGTTAACAAGCCCTTTTACCCACTGAGCCATCCCGCCTGCCCTGGGGAAAGAGTATTTACAGCAGAGGGAAGAGTTAGAGGCTGGGCACCACTGAGTATCCAGGCCTAGAGCCTGGTGACAATAGTGGGAGTCTTGGAGGGGCTATGTGTGGGCAAAACCCAGCCTGCCAGCGAGGGAAGCAGCTGGAGCTCCTATCCGGTGGTTTTGGAGCACATCTGTCTGGGGGGAGGGAAGAGCCCTGCAGGTGAGGACCACCCAGGTCAGCATCTCCCTGCCCAGCCCAAATGCAGCATCACAGATGGCTTTGCTTATGCAACAGGAACTCGTCTTCTCCCAGGTCTGTGAGCTAGAAGTTCAAGATCAAGCTGTTGACAGCTCTGAACTCTCCAGAGGCCTGTGTCTGGGCTCGCAGATGGTCATCTTCCCGCCGTGTCCTCACACGGCCTTCCTTTGGCAGTACACCCTCAGTGTCTCTGTCCCTACGTCGCCTGCTCTTATAAGGACAAGCACTCATATGGTGCGGTCCACCTCCGTGACTTTATTTTAAACTGACTGCCTGTATAAAGTCCTGGAGGCATTAGAGGTACCCCCAGCTACACTCCAGGCTATGGGGGGCTGCGGCTTCAACACAGGAGTTCTGAGGGAAGAGTTCAGCCCAAACTCCACAGATCCACTCCAAGCCGGGGCTTCTCACAGCTCACTGAAGCCCCACCTTGACTGATAAAGCAATGCTGGGGAGCCCTGGATAGCCTCATTCCCACAGACTCTTTAAGGACACAAAGCATAAGTAACTTAGAGGATGAAATGTTGGCCTGGGATGTCCAGAGCTCAGCTTTGTTTCAGTTTGGCTTGGTTTTCAGAGACAGTCTTGCTCTAGGTAGCCCAGCCTGACCTTGAACTCACTATTTATTCAAGCCTGGCCTTGAAGCCAAGGGCGACCCTCCTAGCTCAGACTGGAGCTATGGTGTTGGAATTACAGGTGTGTACCCCTACGCCAGGCACCAGGTGCCTTTGAAGGGCCACAAACCCACAGGCAGGAAGTTGTGGTATATCTCACTGTCTACCACACTGATGGGCAGCCCCTTGCCCCACTCCACAGCTGGTGTGAGTGACAGGTACAGTGACTGAAAGAGAAAGCCACTACAACCCTGTCTCTAAGGGGCTCTTGCTGCGCATGCAGTCACGTTTCGTCCCCATGGAGTACAGTGGAGGTGAGCGGGATGCACGGAGGGCGAGGCCACCCAACAAGGGAGGTTTTCCACAAAGTCGCCTTCTAGCCAGTAGCTCAGGTGCCCCAGCTAGCCCAGCGTGGAGCCAACTTTCCTTTCACAGAGCTTCCCTTAGCCCCTCCTCACCTCCTTGACTGCGTCTGCCAGGCTCCGTTCTCGTTCTTCCCTCCCCAGCAGACTGGGTAGGGTGGCTGGCAGGTTGGGGAGCTGGCTTTGTGTATCCCTCCCGGTACGATTATTAAACGCAAATTACAAAAGACGTGACCCAAACGATCTTTATTTCTTCTTTCAACAAGGGTTGCCTGCAGGGCCCTGATTCCAAATTCCGTTTCAATTATCTCGGCCATTTCCCACAGAAAGCGGCTGGTGTTTGTAATTGCCGGCGAGGAAAGAGGCAGGGAGAGGAAGTCAGGGGGCTCTGACTTGTGGTGTCTGCCTCTTCAGGCTGAGCTTGCACTTGCAGCCATCAAAGTTTCACCCTTGCTGGATCACCGAGGGGCCGATGCTGGCAGAGTCGGTAACGAGAGTCCTGAGTGCCACACCCACGTAAAGATCTGGGGATCCTCCTCACCCTCTCTGCTTCTCTGAACGTAGGTACCCTGACAGCTGCTCCAGAGAGTTCAGGAGCACAGGCTATTGGGAGAGAGAGCCACAAGAGGTCTGCCTTGTGCTTGGGCTGTGGGGCCGGATGGGAGTCGTTTCGGGGATCTAGGAAGGAACCCAGTGTGAATGTACCTGCCGGCTTTTCCCAATGACCTGGTACCCAGAGCACTGAATTAGTAACACTGAGAGGTGATATGACATCTTACTTCTTGCTGTGTCTAGACTGGTGTCACCAACATGGGACGTGGAATGAAATCCCAGGCTTTATAGCCCCAGGGTAGGGGGTAGTGTCCGTCCATCCTACTTGACTCTGAGCAAGCATATGACCTTGTTGAGCCTTCATCAGGGCCATCTGTGACTTTGAGGCACTTGTATTTTGACCTCAGAGGGATGCTGAGACAACTCAAACTCAGTGTGAAGCCTCAAGCACAGTGCCTGGCACACAGTAGGTGTGCCTTCAATGCCAGCTGCTGGAGTTACAGTCCACCAATTTAATATACACAAGCAGGCAAGAGCCATTAGGTGTACATGGCCCTGTAATCCACCCCACCCCCCTGCTCCTTTCAGGCATCCAGGTTCCCCAAGGAGGGTCTTGAGGCTGCCCAGATTTAGAGCCAGTGGCCCCACCAACAGACTACGGGCAACAGGCCCAAGCCCAGATGGGCTGGCACGGAAGGCGATTTACAGCCCCGCTTAGCCAGGGCCGGGTGAGTCATTTGTCACGCCAAGCCCGGGCACCTTGTTCTACCTGTGTTGAGTGTGTTTTATTGGTGTTGAGCAGAGTGAGGCCAGAGCACAGTCGGGGATAGGAAACCCACTCAAGTGAAAAATGAGGAAAACCGAATGGGATTGAGTGGAGCTAGGTGGGGAGAGGCAGCGGGAAGGCTGCGAGGAGCGATTAGAAAACACAGACAAATGTGTACTTCAGCCCCGAGGTTCCCAGAAAGAGGGGCACACACCCCGAGAAAAGACATCCAGGCTGGAGCAGTGGGTTCCAGCCCAGATGGGTCCTGGAGCCTACAAGCTGTGGACACCAAAGAAGGTTTTAAACAGAAAAGCAGACCCAGTCCCCCAATCCCGCTCCCCAGCCTACCCGGGAAAAAAAAAGAGGCCCCAGCCGATCTGTTTAGGATTCCTTCGGCTTCCTTCAGCATCCCTCAGCACAGAAGTTTCAAGTCCAAAATTATGAGATGAGACTCTGGGGTAAGGTAGATTCTGAGATCTCCCTGTTAGGAACAAGAAAATAACGAACAGGAGAGGGAGGCCAGGGGAGAGGCAGAGAGAAAGGGAGAGAGGCAGATAGAGAGATAGACACTGGGCTTTGTGCCCGCAACAAGCCACTAAAGGTGCATTTTTAATTAAATTTATACAAAATGTGTCAGTTTTATCTCTAGGTTTCAAACCTGACTCTGTGCTATCAAAGGGAAGTATTGATCTCCACTGCCCCGGAGCTACCTGACTGAATTAAACAGAATAAATAGAAGGAGGAGGACGGAAGGGTTCAGAAACAACTGCAGAGAGGCGAAAGCTAATGGCCCCGCCATCATTTGCTGCAATTAAAACACAAAACCATTTAGAGGGCCTGTCAACACCTTGAAGTCAGAAAACTCCACACACACACAGAAGCTCTAAACAGCTCCCAGGCAAAACATTTTAATTGCTATGAATGCGTCCATCCTTGGCTGGCGCTCGGGTATCTGTACATTTTGCTGCAATACCCAGGTGCACATGCACCCTGCTCCGCCTGTTATGCCCTCCTGCATCAGGACCTCCCCCAGGATCTGCTATGCCCACCTGCATCAGCTCTCCTGCAGGGTTCCTAGTCCTTTGTATCCAGAGCCCCATGGAAGCAGTGTTTCCTAGCCCCAGACACATGTGGTTTTCTCATTCACTAGAGACTAGACAAGCTACTAGGCCTCCCATTGCTTTGGTGTCCTCATCTGCAGAGGGGAGGTGATAATGCCACCTTGTAGAGTTGTTGCAAGGTGGAATCAAGCTATTAGTGAGTTTAGGACAGGGCTTGGGGAGAAATGAATGCACAACAAATGGGAGAAGCAGGAAGTGAGCGTCCACCCAACTTCTGTTGCTATCCTGAAGGTGGGGGACTTCCTGTGAGACCCAAATGGGGCCTGTCCTTAGGCTGTGCCAGCAACGGCTTTTTGGGTCTAATCAATCATGCCCTCCTATTTGTGGCACTTCTCCCATAAGCCTCTGAATTATGAATCTGGGCCTCTGACCTCCCATTTTATCTCATATGGCACTAGAAATGGATGTGCCAATCACCCTGGGGTCTGCAGAGGAGGGACAAGCTGCCAAGGTGATAGTCTATGCTGGGTGGCTCTCTTGCTATTCTCCAAATCTCAACTTGAAAGTCCACTTGTTGGCATCTGACCTATATAGGTGCTAGAGCCACACACAAAGAGACCACCCTACCACCCTTGATGTCATGCTCTGTGGTCCCATGGTCCCAGTCTTAAGAATCTTAGTCTTTTTTTTTTTTTTTTTTTTTGACTAGCATCTCACTATGCAACCCAGCCAGGAACTCATTGCCTTGTGCTGATACCCGTTTGAGAAGTGGATGCCCAGACTGTAGGACCATCACTCCAAGGCCTGGCAGGAGAGATGTTAGTTCCCTCTCCACCTGTGAGCAGTGGGCTGACCAGCGCTGCTTAATTAAATGGGGGGAAAAGATCAGGTCAATGCTAGATAAGCAGGCAGGGGTAGGACGGACAGAAAGAACAGGCAAGGGAGAGCTGTCAGCACCCCGGCCTGTGGAGCGTGATCATTAATAATGATAAGCAGGAGAATGGGAATAATAAAGGACTAATGAACTGGCCCTGAAAGTGACAGGAGATGAAATCTGACAGAAGGCAACCCTCCTC